ATCTAAAATCTAAATACATGTTTAGATTCAGCATATCAAAGAACCCCATATATTCAATTTTTGTTGAAATCAAACAAAGTTTAATTTTGGACCCCAACTTGGACCAACTTGAAAACTGGGCCCATAATCAAAAATCTAAACACATGTTTAGATTCAGCATATCAAAGAACCCTAAGAATTCAATTTTTGTTAAAATCAAACTAAGTTTAATTTTGGACCCTTTGGACCTTTATGTAGACAAATTTAAAAAACGGGACCCAAAATTAAAAATCTAAATACACGGTTAGATTCGGCATATCAAAGAACCCCAATAATTCAATTTTTGATGAAATCAAACAAAGTTTAATTTTGGACCCTTTGGACCTCAATGTGGACCAATTTAAAAACGGGGCCCAAAATCCAAAAACTTAATACACGGTTAGATTCAGCATATTAAAGAACCCCAAGAATTCAAGAATAAAACCCCATTGAAATTGATCAAGAAATAAGCAATTTATACGAAGTATCTTCTTTTGCACAATACTGTGCAATTGAATATTTCTTGCTATTGCGCAATACTGTACAATTGACAATTTCTTGCTATTGCGCAATATTGTGCTATTGGATATTTCTTGCTATTGCGCAATACTGTTAAATTGAAGATTTCTTGCTATTGCGCAATACTGTGCAATTGAAGATTTCTTGCTATTGTGCAATACTGTGCAATTGAAAATTTCTTGCTATTGCACAATACTTATTATATAATAATTTACACATCCTGTTTGGTTTGTATCTCCTACCATATCATTATTATTTGCTTTTAAATATAAATCAGAAATAACCAACTTAAAATGGAAAATTTTAAAAGAAAAAAAAAAGGAAAAAAAGAAAAAAAAAAAAAAAAAAATCCCCCCCCCCAAATTTTTTGAACCCCCTTATGATTCATCACCCCCAAACTCAATCCCAGCCTTCCCTTTGTGGTATGGTACCTTGCAGTACAATTTCAGAGAGATCCATACACTTGAACACAAGTTATTGTCTGGAAACTAGAAAAATGCTTATTTTTGGCCCCTTTTTGGCCCCCAATTCCTAAACGTTTCGGGCAATTACCCCCAAACTCAATTCCAGCTTTCCCTTTGTGATATGGAACCTTGTAGTACAATTTCAGAAATATCCAAACACTTACACACAAGTTATTGTCATGAAACTAGAAAAATGCTTGTTTTTTGCCCCTTTTTTGGCCCCTAATTCCTAAAATTTTGAGGCAATTACCCCCAAAATCAATTACAGCCTTCCCTTTGTGATATGGAACCTTGTGGTACAATGTCAGAGAGATCCATACACTTACACACAAGTTATTGTCTGAAAGTTACAAAAATGCTTATTTTTGGCCCCTTTTTGGCCCCTAATTCCTTAACTGTTGGTACCATAACCCCCAAAATCAATCCCAACCTTCCTTTTGTGGTATTGAACCTTATGGTGAAATTTCATGGAGATCCATTCACTTAAACTAAAGTTAGAGTGCGAAAACCAATGTGTCTTCGGACGACGCCAGACGACGCCGGACGCCGGACGACGACGACGACGACGACAACGACGACGACGACGACGACGACGCCAACGTCATACCAATATACGACCAAAAAATTTTTAATTTTTGCGGTCGTATAAAAATAAGAGACACACAGTTGGAGTACTACAATCATAAATATATAAGCAATTTTTATTTACTGGATCTGGTAAATAGTTCTGGATGTAGTTATCTCCCTTAGACATTCAGAATTTTTCTACTTATATAAGTTATCTCCCTTATTCAGTCAGGGGCATTACTTAAACAAGTAACTTTTAAAATCACAAGTAATGTTGAAATTGAGGCTATATAAAATATTACTTATATAAGTAACTTTTCTAAATATTATTTTTATAGGTGTCCATTAATACAGATTTCACTAGCTTTAACAAATTTTCACAGTCATCTGGTTATTTTTCCCATGAAATATAAAAATTAATCCTCCAGAAACAATAATTGCCTTTCCCACCCACTTATCTTTCTTATGGACGCTTCTTGGTCAAATATTGGTCTCATGGGACTATTAAAATATCATTTTCCTTGAAAATCTTGGAAGGTAGACAATGTAAATAGATAGAAACTTGTGATTTAATTAAGACTTAAAGTTAGTTATTCATAATTTGTAACCCAAAACAATTACATATCTTCCTTAAATAGTTGTAATTACTAATTCTTTCAAAGATGTATAAAATTACTTATTCAAGTAAATGTTTGTCATTATTTTTAAAGTAACCTTTTATTTCTATACTTCTCTCAAATTTAATAGATTCTTAATTTTATGTAATAAAATGATTTAAAAACTCATGAAAACTACATTTAGTGCATGCTTCTATTGAAATATAAAATAAGTCTATTGAGTAATTTAATAATTTCCAAAAACAAATATTACCTATATAAGTAACTAAAAAAAATATACTTGTTTAAGTAATGCCCCTAGCTGACTGTTAGTCATTCAGATCTTTTCTACTTATATAAGTTATCTCCATTAGTCATTCATATCTATTCTACTATATAAGTAATCTCCCTTAGCCATTCAGATATTTTCTACTTATATAAGTTATCTCCCTTAGTCATTCAGATCTTTTCTACTTATATTAGTTATCTCCCTTAGTCATTCAAATCTTTTCTATTTATATCAGTTATTTCCCTTAGTCATTCAGATCTTTTCTACTGATATTAGTTAGAATCATGTGCAAAACAGTGTAGCCGAGATCATTGATTGGTGCGCTAAAATATCCCATTGACTGGGTCAGATTAGGTGAACGTTCGTCTGTAACGCCCACAACTCACGACGTATTTATTATAGACATTTAAACTGTGGGGTCACCAAAGGGTCTCAACGCCTAAATAAAATAATTCGAAAAACTAATCAGGAATAACCTTTGTGTTTTGATTTATATTGAATACTTAAACGTTCTTTACTTGTGTTTTTGTTATGTTTTGATAATGAATTTTTATGATATCGGACGTTCTTTCAGCAAAAAAGGATTTAACTGGCTTTAAAAGTTACAATGGATGTGTTGATTATTATCTTTTTTTCGGACGTCAAAGCGATTTAACAATTGCGGTTGTCCAATTATGTCATCTTTTAACTTTTATCTGGTCAAAATTTTATTTTAGAACGAATGCATGATCAACTTTAAAAAGTGTGCAAACACAAAACATATAGACAAAATATACTTCTTTCCTGTCTTTTTCGTACTTGCAAGTTATTAGACAGTAAAAAGGCTATTTGGATCAAGCCTTGTGAAATTTGCATTTACGTTTTTGAATAGGTAAAATGTATAGTTTGGTGATCTTTTCTGCTAACTTCTATGCTTGTGAAAAACCCATGGCAACAGAAACATATTCAGCTTTTTTTTTAATCGACCCAATTTACATAGTAATGGACGACTTCGTACATTTTATGATCGCAAATAAAATATGTATATAATATACTGTGCACTGTAGTTCTTATATATACTGAGACCCTTTGGCAACCCCACAGTTTAAATGTTTATAATAAATACGTCGTGAGTTGTGGGCGTTACAGACGAACGTTCACCTAATCTGACCCAGTCAATGGGATATTTTAGCGCACCAATCAATGATCTCGGCTACACTGTTTTGCACATGATTCTATCTCCCTTAGTCATTCAGATCTTTTCTACTTATATAAGTTATCTCCCTTAGTCACTCAGATCTTTTCTACTTATAAAAGTAAGAAAGTCCTATTTTCTTCATTCTTGAATATCTCTTGGCTATTTCACTAATAGAGTTATAAATTGTCTGTTTCCTATTGTTGTCTTAATGATTCATAAACATGATAAAAGTGTAATTTGTTGCATGGAAAACCATTTTTCTGTTATTTTCAAAATAGATCATACCTATTTACAAGCTTGAGAAGAGCTATTTTTGGAGGCTATGCACAGCTACTTCACAAGAGTACAGTAAATCTTTTTGTTTAGTATTTGAGATAAAGTGATGAACTTTAATTAAAAAATTGTTAGCAAACCAGAAAAAAATATTTGAGGCATGTTCATGACTTCCCAAAAACATGAGAATATCAGAGGTTAGTAAATTTTTGGAGAATAATGAGACATTATTCAACATTGTAAAGAAATTTTAAATCTGACAAATGTGTTATACAAGAAATATTACTTACATTTAATGAACAGAATGACTAGTATCTTTAGTATTAAGACTGGCAGAGGGGAGGGAACTCACTCATGACTTTATTTACCACAAATGGATTTTTTGGCAACAGTTATTATAAAGGTTATTTATGCTTACAATAAAAAAAAATCAAATTCAGTTATCTATTCATTCCTAAGGTCAGAGAAAAATTCATTTTCACCAATTTTAGTGGTTGAACAAACTGTCAGCATTTTGAGGTCAGGGTTTGTTGGGGCAACATTTTTATAAATATATTCTTTAAAAATATTTAAAATCTCTACCAGATATTAACCACTGAGAAAAAAAAGAGTCAACAATCAAAATGAGAAACAACAGTACACAGGGAATTTCAAAAACTTCTCGTTTGCTTAAAAAAATGGTTGACTGCCTATCTTAAAAAAATTGTGACTTTGATCATGTTGATATCTGCCTTGACCAGTGACTAATAATAGTATTCTCAGAAATAATTGTATGCTGTAATTTTTGCTATTGTTCATCATTGCACAGATGCTGTGGCCAGTTTTTATTGGTGGATGAAGTTAGGGTGCCCAGAGAGAACCACTGAACTTCAGCAGAAAAACTTGCATTCCTAGTCAATTAAGATTGGTGACTTACACCCTACCACATGTGGGGTTCATCCACATAAACTTAGTGTTGACAGTCTAGTGATACAGTAGATGAACTACTATTAAAGACCACTCAGCCATCCTATAATACAACATCTAACTATTGTAGTACCAATCATATTACATGTTTGCAAAATGATTCATAAAGTTTTCAATACATTACTATGTACCTGATGGACAGTAGGCTCTGCCTGTATTTCATCATCTAGTTGTTGTAAAGACTCTATTTTCTTTGTAAGATACTCTCCTGGTATTCTTCTGTGAGCAAGTAATTCTGATAATTTATCCATCTGAAAACATTCATTTACGAAAAATTATTTTACGTTATATAGATCAGGCAATTTTTCCTTCTGATGAGAATAAAATTCCCTTTCAAAATGTTTTCAAATTAGAAGAATGCATACACCACATGAATAATCCAGCAAAGAAAATAAGCTTTAAATCATATGAATTAACATGATTATTGCATTGTCTTTCATGTAATAACAAAACACATTTTAATTATATTTTGTTTTCCATTAAAATCTATACACATGTTTGTGAGATAATAAATATGGGTGGTAAAACAAGGTAAAGGATTGATTACTGTAAATTCAGAAATTATTGCGTGCATTTATTATTGCGATTTTGTCATTTTAGACTAAAATGCGATTTTAATTTTTGTGATATTGAGAAAAATCCTGTTTAATTCATATAAAAAATTTCAAAATGCGAGTTTAAATTATTGCAATTATAACCCTGTCGCATTTTTCGCAATAATAAAAACATCGCAATAATTTCTGAATTTACAGTACCTAATTTCATTTAAGCTAATTATCTAATCTTACATCGAAAAAAGCCCAAGCTGCTTGTAAAAATGTATGTATTGAAGTCAGGTTGGCTATAAATTTGTACCACTATCTAATATTATTGTTATATCAGAGGTTAAGAATATTTAGACGACCCCCAGGTCCTGAAAGTTTTTATTTTGAAAAAGAAAAAAACAAGAATGTTTTATAGACTTTTGGTATTTCTCAAATTATTGAAGAGTAAAAACCATTTTTCAGACTCTTATGCCTAGATCTGGTCTTCATTAGTCTGTTATCATTCTCAACTACATGTAACTCATGCATCTGCCATACCTCAATCATTTTTGACAAAATAGTAAAACCTGTTTTCACAGAACCCTTCTTGAACTTCAGATTTTGTTCTGATGACACAGATGTTTGGTTTACACACAATTACTAAATAAGATCCCTTTAGGTCCCTCTGTACTTACTGTATAATATGGGAAGACAGATTTAACAGTTATTAATAAAACTACTTACATGATTTATAAGTTATATTAAAACAAATAACAAAGTTTGGGACTTTGATCATTGAATGAATACCTTGGGATTTTAAAGGACTATATTGTGAATATGAGAAAGACTTAAACTACTTTCTCAATATCTCAACTCTCCTCCTTTACATTTTTTCCTGTGGATTAAGGAAACATTTTATTTTCTCAAATATTTGATTTCATGGTTTTTACAAATTTTGCATACAGGAATTTTATGTTATGTTGAAAAACTTTTATCTCTTGTTTCACCAATACCCATGGAAAACAGGAAAATTAGTACTAGCAAAAAAATGATGAATTGCAGTACTGTAAATTCAGAAATTATTGCGGGCGATTTTTTAAGATTTAACAAAAATGCAAGTTTAATTATTGCGATCTAAGGAAACGCATTAATAAAAACCTCGCAATAATTTCTGAATTTACAGTATTTGATTATATATGACCATACCTTAAAAGCAATTCAGTATTTAGACTAACCTGAACAATGAAGTCTCTAGTGAGCACCTCAGGATTTGGAAGCACTGATCTTTCTGCAACCACAGCCATCCGAATAGACTGTCCATAACTTAGGAATGAAATTCCTACAGCCATATTGTGTAACTGTGGAACCCAATAAATCACAGACTTAATTTGCTTTGATGCAAATGTCAGAGTTCCTTCTGGTCCAGGAATATTTGAAATGACACAAGTGAACTTACCATGAATATGATTCCAAAATTTCTGAAATATACCAACAGAAAACAGACACGAAGTGACCCAAATTGCCCCTCGAGTCACTGAAAATAATGCACTAGAACTTAATTTATCCATTATATGTTTAACTTTCCACAAACGAGGAATAGCGCCCTCTGTATTTGTTGGTATAGGTACACTCATGTGTATGTAATTGTTATTTTCAGTTGTGTAATATGAACAACCAGAATTGTAATGAACTGCTATCATACTTTTGATATCATAAGGATTTAAAACACCATTTTGATTAAAATACGTCCGAATGCAACCTGCTGTCACAGATAACAAAATATCATTCATTGTACTTCTGGTGATTTGTTTGATACGAGTGGCCTGTTCAAGGTCATAAGGTTCAGACCATGTCATTACTTGTTTCCCTGATATATGAACATGATCTCCGTGGAACATATTAAAATCTCTCTTCATAAATAAGTATTTTTGCATAAACACTAAAGGTCCTACAAATAGCGACTTCAAACTATTGAGAAATATATTTTGGCGGGAAAATTTAAGTTTGGGTGCAGTCACATAACCGGTATCGGATAAAGATTTCTGTAATACATACATTAGTGACATGCCATCCATAATACAAGAGCTAAGTCTGAGGTATAGTATGGTATCACGGTGTTCACCAAAACCATGTAAAACTTGTATTTCCCATGGAGAGTGACCTGAGGTCAAAGATCGAGAACTTCTATTTGAAATGTATTCTTGTAAATCCTCTAAATTTTCTAATGAGGAAGGCATAGGAAAAACATGATTTTTCATTAAAAAGTTTGAATCTTGAACCCAAGCAAGACCAGAACATGTTTGAACAATTTTTTTGGTTAACTTTGGATATAACTTTATGCCCTCTTCATCCTCAGCACAAACTATTCTTGCATTGATGAGATCTTGAATTCGATGTATATCCAAACCAGCTTCAACTATAAGTAAGGCTTGGTAGATGTCAGTTTTACCTTGACATTGGCGTAAAGCTAGCATTTCTTTTTTAGTCAACAGTTCTCCTGCTTGACATTTGTTTCCGTAGCAACAACAACATGAACACAATTTTTTTATGAAATAAATTATTGGCAACAGAACGCTCAAAAGCACACATGTAGGACAGAACACTATCAATGAGCAAAATAAAAAAATAATGCTGTAGAAAAATTTGCATTTCCCTTTTGGCACATCAACCGGAATAATTTGTGTGAATGGTGAACTTGGAAAACTATGACGAAGCCCATGATGACTATATCCACTTAATGTAGCTATACTTAAATCTTCTTCACTCTTCTGATGTTTTAGCCTTTCCATATCAATTGAAAGATACTGTCGACTCTGATCTGGTATTCCTGACATACTCCCATTACTGTATAAATCGTTACTAGTGCTAGATTCATTTGACAGGCTTATTGTATGATCGCTATTCAGAATTTTTTGTCTTCCTCGATCAGAATTCACACCATAAAACATTGGCATACTAAAATCATTTTTATTAAATTGATTGGGAATGGAGCTTTCGATCGTTTTTGACCTTTTGACATCTGATGATGTTTTTGAGTTATGTCTTCCAGAATGGCTATTACTGATTGTATGTGCTGAGGCATTGTCATCAGATTTGCTTTTAACCATTCGTACATGCTGATGATCAGTAGGTGGATTATTATACATATCAGACATAGGATACTCAGTTGAGATTTCATATTTTGATGCTGAATCGTTATCGTTGATTTTTGGCAATTTCTGGAAGGAAATACGGCTCCCTCCACTGCTATGTCTACTTTTTTTGTCCTCATCGCCAATAGATTGTTTGGAGCTCCTTCTCCTGTCTTCAGACTGTGAGTTTCTTTTTCTGTCTTCTGAATGTGGCTTTTTTGTTTTAGTATGCATGTATTCCTGACCCTGCAGTAGTTTTTCTGTAGACCCATACCTTGATGCTGGTCTACCTTGTGCCTGACTGAGTCTACAATTTTCATCTTTTGTTTCATTATTATAATATTCTGAAGTTGAATCAGAGTCCTTAAGAGCATGAACTTCTTCAGACCTTCTTGTAGATCTTTTCCGTCTATCGAGAGAAGAACTTCTGAGTCTTGATGTTGATCGGTCATTAGAATCTCGGATTTTCTCATTATTAGATTTGGAAATGGACGATTTTCGAATATTATTTCTGTCATTGCTTGTTGAGGGTCGCTCTTTGTCCATTTATTTCTTTACCTATTTTCCATTAGACTGCCCTAAAACAAAATGAAACAAAGATTTATAACTGTTTGCATGGTATATTTCATATGTTTAACACCATTTACTATACAATTGTACAACTTCATAAAGAGCAAGCTGTTATTATTGACATTGTTGTTTCCAAACTTAAATCCTCATCGAGTAAACCAACCATTGCTTTCACAGAAATCATTTATCTATTGGCAAATTTTCTTGCAAGTAACCAGTTTTTTTATCGGAAAAACTACTGTTAATTCAGAATTTATTGTGTGCATTTATTACAGCGATTTTTGTAGAAGGAATAATAATGCTAAATTAATTGTTGTGACTTCAGAAATAGCTGCATACAAGTAGCAGAACAATATGACTTCTTCTTTTTGAATACTCATCCAGTCACGTTAGCCACATTTCTCAAAACCTCGCAATAATTTCTGAATTTACAGTATTTTAAAATATTTCAGTTTAACTGTTGAAATCAAATTGAACAGGTGAAAAAAAGCAGATTCAGATGACATTTTGTCATGTCAGAGCTTTTTATAGTTTATACATATATGGTATGTAGATATAAGAAGATGTGGTATGAGTGCCAATGAGACAACTCTCCATCCAAGTCACGGAGCCTTGGCTATAAAGGGCCCCAAAAATTACTAGTATAAAACCATTCAAAAGGAAAACCAACGGTCTAATCTATATAAAAAACGAGAAACACTTATGAACCATATCAACAAACGAAAACCACTGAAGTTATCAGGTTACTGACTTAGGATAGGTGCAAACAAATGCAGCAGGTTTAAACGTTTTAATAGGCGCCAACCTTCACCCTAATGTTTGGTTCATCGTTGAAGGATAGTGTAGTATCTATGAGTATAGTTGTTAACATCCTTGCCATTAATGGTGTCTCATGGGTAGTTGGCTCATTGGCAATCACACCACATCTCCTTTTTTCTGTATTAACCATAGAATTGCCAAAGCTATACTTGAATTTTAATTTTAAAAATTGTCAGCTAATTTTCAAAAAGCTTCTGTAATAACCTAAATTGGATTGATCATGCACTTGCATGTAAACATTTATACAAATGGATAGCCCTTGCTGTAATTTGATTGATAACTTATAACTCTGTCTGACAGATTTAACTAGATGAAATACAACCTGATATTTATCCAGATGTCCTAATCATGAGTAAGACTCTAACCCCTACATATCATCACATCATCTCCAAAGAAGGTGGTGATCAGCCCAAAAAGTTGGCCACCAAATTAATTTTTATTTAAATCTTTATTTTGATTATGCAAAGGGTAACTTACAATTACTTCCTGAAACTGCCAAAATAGAACAAATTCTTTCATCATTTCCAAGGTGACATAAAAATGACAAATCAAAGAATTCAAAATTTATATAACTATACAGGACAAAGGTGTTGTTTAAAAATAACACCATTCCCAGCCCTTTTGTTTTTCACATAATTAATATGACTTCACAAGTTCAAGGTCGAATCCGATACCGATACCAATAGTATATGTCACATGTAGTTTCCAGTTGTTGTTACCTGTTACCTTCTGTGAATCCCTCCTCTATCAGGAGAACCCGGAATTCTTCCAGTGGTTGTTTTATTATCTATGTTACACTATAGTACAATATTTAACAAGTCTGTTTTCTTCCACATCAATACCACTATTAATTTTGGTTAATTAGTTAAAGGGGAATAATTAGCTACGAGAAATAAAAAAAAATAAAATATGATTTTTTTTGGTTCAATCATTAATGAAAGTGATATAGTGAAATAATAATTTGCTTTTAGTAACCAATTTGGTTCAATTTTGTCAAAATAAGCTATACATGACAATTATCTGACCTCAAACAAATTATGGTCATTTTACATATAATATTTTATAAATCCAGATATATGAGAAACAGCCTTTCCAAGCAAACATATTTGATTTACATAAATATCCATACAAATAACGATATTCATGCAAAATTTTGGCATAAGTCTTGCTGTTGCTCACTTCTTACATGTCTTACTATCAAAGGGAATTTAATAATCTAAAAATAAGTAGTTTTGTCAGTTTTTGAGGTTTCAAGTTTCAAGGTTTATTTTAGTACTTTGTAAGACAAATAAAATTCAAATGTTTCATTACTGACAGCTGACAGACAAATGTCTATTGAACATCTAATAAATGTTTTCTGTCAAATCTATATTACATGTACTTCATGATTTCAATGGTTAATGCAACACTCTCCTGAATAAACCCACATATACATGAAATAACTCAATTGAAAGTCTGTTTATTATTTTTATTAAAATGCAGATAAAATCTCAATTTGAAATAATACTACTGCTACTTGAATAATTCCTGATTCTCTTATTGTACAGATAAGGCAATACTAAAACCAATTTATTCTATAAGAAAAGTTTATTTGAGATTATTCAGATGCTGTCTACAGCATATTATCTGAAACAAATTAAGGTTGAAGAAATCAGTTTTTCTGACAATGATAAATTTAATGCCATTGACAAGGCCAATACTATTTGGTAATTTGATGCAGTTTACAGAGTCCATTAGTTCTGATGTTTTCCTGATACAAATCAAATAATAAAAAGATATTGATCATTTAGTGACAAGCAGCTAAATGGCAAATAAACAAATAAACAACGGAAATTGTGTCTTTCATAAATATTACACAGAGGACCTTATCATTGATACAAAAATCTCAGCCTGAATATATCTTATCTCTTAATTCAATCCTTTAAAAAATATTCAAAAGTGCAAATAAGGCTAAGAAAAAAATATTTTGTGTTTTTTAGGTAGGAACCTCAAACATAAAATATATTGACTACAAAGAACTCCATAAAAAATTAAGTAAAGAATCTTGAAGATTATAATGACTATATAACCATGATAATAAAAGGACTCTAATACTAATACTAATACTGGTGCATAACCTTTATATGGGAAAATGCACTTCACTAATCTAAATGATCCTTGTAAATAATAGAGTTTAAAATTTTGCCTATTCAGTAAGCCCCTAAACACTATTGCCCTGTCCTTTATCGCTCTTAAAAATTACATTGGTTGCAATAAAATACTGTGATTTCCCCACAATCAAATAAACACCAATATTTTACAAGTGAAATGAAATCCTATTATATAAATCACTACTCTAACAATTAACATACAACAAAGGTGAACATTATCAAAATACAGTCTTGAATATTGCATCCAAGAGAAATGAGATGCATAGAAAAAGATATGGTACTTTACATTTTTTTACTATATTACATTTAAAAATACAATTAATATAATCTAATTAATATCTATAATCCAAGAAATCAAATATTGTAAACTATTGAACTTTTAAAGGAACAATTAATACCAATACCAGGTCTAGGCCTGCATCGCTGCATGAAATTGATTGAGGTAACATGTATACCGGAGCATAACTGATCATTCCCAGACCAAACATTAAAATCATTCCTTTTCATAATTCAAAAAACCAAGAGAACGAAAATTATCCTTGTACAATAAGTGTTGTAAAATTTTAAAATATTTGGCATACAGGAAGTTGCTAAAAGGCAGATATATTGCTTATTTGCTTTAAGTAACAACTCAACATTATCAACTGCAGACCAAATATTAAATCATTCTCTTTCATAAAAGCCAAGAGAACTTTGACGAAAACTTTCCTTGTACAATGAGTGTTGTAAAATTTCAAACTATCAGCAAACAGGAAGTGGCTACAAGGCAGATGCAATAAAATGCTCCGCAGGGCGCAGCTTGATAAGACCGCAGAGGTCGAACCCTGAACAGTTGGGGCAAGTATGGACACAACATTCAAGCTTGATACAGCTTTGCATTTTGATTGTGATTAAGTATTTGACACAGCATAGGTTTCTGACACAGAATGAATGTGGTCTAAGAACTTAAAAATTTTAAATTGGACATTCACCTATTATGGTCCAATATCCAAAATCTAAATACATGGTTAGATTCAGCATATCAAAGAACCCCAAGAATTCAATTTTTGATGAAATCAAACAAAGTTTAATTTTGGACCCTTTTGACCTCAATGTGGACAAAGTTGATAAAGGGGCCCAAAAATCAAAAATCTAAATACATGGTTAGATTCAGCATATCAAAGAACCCCATATATTCAATTTTTGTTGAAATCAAACAAAGTTTAATTTTGGACCCCGATTTGGACCAACTTGAAAACTGGGCCCATAATCAAAAATCTAAATACATGTTTAGATTCAGCATATCAAAGAACCCTCAGAATTCAATTTTTGTTAAAATCAAACTAAGTTTAATTTTGGACCCTTTGGACCTTAATGTAGACCAATTTGAAAACGGAACCAAAAATTAAGAATCTAAATACACGGTTAGATTCGGCATATCAAAGAACCCCAATAATTCAATTTTTGATGAAATCAAACAAAGTTTAATTTTGGACCCTTTGGACCTCAATGTGGACCAATTTAAAAACAGGGCCCAAAATCCAAAAACTAAATACACAGTTAGATTCAGCATATTAAAGAACCCCAAGAATTCAAGAATAAAACCCCATTGAAATTGGTCAAGAAATAAGCAATTTATACGAAGTATCTTCTTTTGCACAATACTGTGCAATTAAATATTTCTTGCTATTGCGCAATACTGTACAATTGACAATTTCTTGCTATTGCGCAATATTGAGCTATTGGATATTTCTTGCTATTGCGCAATACTGTGCAATTGAAGATTTCTTGCTATTGCACAATACTGTGCAATTGAAGATTTCTTGCTATTGTGCAATACTGTGCAATTGAAAATTTCTTGCTATTGCACAATACTTATTATATAATAATTTACACATCCTTTTTGGTGTGTATCTCCTACCATATCATTATTATTTGCTTTTAAATATAAATCAGAAATAACCAACTTAAAATGGAAAATTTTAAAAGAAAGAAAAAAAGAAAAAAAAGGAAAAAAAAAAAATCCCCCTCCAAATTTTTTGAACCTCCTTATGATTCAT